GGACCTCACCAAAGTCTCAGACCCTCCTGCTTTCTCATCCGAGCTTGGGACCTACAACGACTGAGTTGCATTGTTTTCGTTTATTGTTTATTCCGACTTATCTTCGTTATGGGTGTGCCATGAACGTAAGTCGATGCCGCTCCAGTATTCTCTGTTTTCCGCTTTCTGCTTCCGTTGTTGGTCAAGTACGTCATCAAATCTTCCGAGAGTGTTTTTGAACGACGGAGGAAACGTTTGTACTTCAGCGGAACCCAGTCTGTGATTCTTTGTGTCCAGCGATTTTACTCGCTCGAGCCACATGGTCGCTTTATCTTCTGTTGGCATCGTTGAAGGCAGAAATTTCTTCTGTTAATCCAGTTCGTTGCCGAATTTGTACACTCTCACCTTGATTCTCGGAGGGAGACCTTGCACACTCTTTGCTCCATCGCTCTTTACGCAGCCATTAGCTTGGCTCTCCTCGGTTTCAGAAGCTTTTTTACATCGTGACGGCTAGAATGGTTGAATCAAGCACTTCTTTTTTTCGCTCTCATGGACAATTCACTGTTGAGTAGCGATGTTTAATGCGGATAAAGTTGACTTATGTCGTCTTTTTTTCCGCTGATTTTCCCGTCTGGCAAGTGAATGCTGTGCATCTGACAGCGAGTTTTGCATAGATGGTGACTCCGTTCAGATTTTCGCCATTTACAGAGACAGGGCCCTCAGTGCAGCATGTACAATTTTGTTTCATGAGTTAAAATCCGAAATTTGATTTTGCAACTCTGAAAATGGCGTTTCGTTAGTTAGGGGATGACTGCGTAAAATATACGTTGGGCCCGTTCCGTCGTAGTCAGCTTAGGTTGCGTCAGTAGTTTCAATTTGGCATTCAATCGGTTGGTTTTATAGTATTCAGTTCAATGAACACAGAGCTCTAACTCGCGGCGGCACGACGCGGCTTGCGTCTTTCGTTCTTCTGCTTCGAAGCCCTTTTTGAAGGAGTAATTATGTCTGTTTCTTTCTACTAGTTTAGATAACTGTTTTTAGCAAAAAATTAGAATTCAGCGCTAATACTCATTAAGCATTGGAAGTCAGCAGATCTATGAATACAGTACGGTTGTTTGTTAAATTCTGATTGATAGTTTATCGATCGATTAGTCACTCCCTGCTAATTGATGTAGTAAAATTTACCGTCAGTGAAGACCTCGTTTATAATAGTTCAAAACTCTACATAATTGCAATCTGGATAACTTTGAGTGCTACAACAAAACAGAAAATACAATAGGGGCAGAAAGGTGCCAACTGTAGTGGTGCTGAAGCCGACCGCCAAGTACGAAAAACTGCCCATGGTGAGGAACTTGTATCTGATGACTTATACTACCACCATAAGAACAGCTCCCTTGTAGAAATGTACCTTTTATTGTCAAAACCTTCTGTGTAATAGCATCTTATCAGTTGTCGTCATAGGTTTGTTTCAAGAGGTGGAAATTCCTAAGAGAAAACTTAAATCACATGTTTAAAACATCACTGAACAACAAATCTTAGATCGCCAGCACTTCGCGCTGTTGTCCCACAGCCTAAGTTTACATAACATCTTTGCGATTACTTGACACTACATCTACGTTGTTGTAGAAGCTAATGAGGACGAGATTTTCTCTGCTAATAATGACTGATATTGCCCCACACTTCACTCCATTATTATGATCGTGATATGAGACGCGAATCAAGTCCTCTGTCCGTTCGTTTCTCACACTGGTGTGTCGCACATGGGATCACTCTAGTCTTCTATTCCAAAACGGTAGGTATTTCGTAGACATGAATTTTGTTTATCAATGTCGAGTCCTGAATTTATATTTTACGGGAGAGGCTGGTCTCGTCGTTCAGGTTTAATTGACTGTGTCGATTCTAGAACGTGTATAATGACAAACACCTGCCTAAAATACAATTTCCACGTAGTGTATGTCGTTGTTTCACCTGAGAACAAATTCTTGCTCTCTACAGGTTTACTTCGATCTTTCATAACAAAATTTCGTAATTTTAATCTGCAGTTGTCTTAGCGAATTTACCTGTGCTACAGAAATTTCACCTATGAACAATACGGTAAGCGGTATGGCTACGCAAATAACTGCAAAGGTTAAAATTTAATGTATTTCGCTTCAAGAGGTCATTTATTTTCTGGTCTGTATTATCGGTCTGTGAAAGAGTAAAAGGCTTCTCGATTTTGGTCGATTTTCCAGCGAATGAAAAAAGGAACTGGTGAACTTCATCGATACAGAGTAGAAATGTGAATTAACTGCTACTTCCTCGATCTTTCCATATCCAAGTCGCTGTATTGTTGTTGTCAGTGAGCATTGGGGCACATGCTACGACTGAATTGGCAAGCTTTATCGTAGGAGTCCGTAATTCAAATCCACAGCGGTTGGTTCATAATTTAATTGGGTGCCTTATATACTGCCATAATGACGACTTTTGAAGCTATGGATATGGATGGGAGAGTGCAGAAAAACAACTGCATCATGCACCTTATTGCAATTTGGCAGTCTGGATGAGTTTCGGGATGTTTCGGTGCTCAAGGCAGCAAGGAAAGCATATAACAAAAATCTGTGACTCAGACCTTCATCTTCATCTTCTTCATCTTCCTTGGCCGCTTCTCCTTTCGGATCGCGGAGTGGCTCGGACCAGTTTTTCATTTTGTGGTGTTAGGATTCTCTGGAGATTTCTGCAAATTTTCATTTCCGGAATACATGATTTTACCGTTTGTCTTGTCCCTATCGTAATTTGTCGAAACAAGCATTGTTCTTTCAATGTATTCCTGCTTGAATTGCATCACCTAAGAACATTGTTTCCAGCATTAAAGAGGAAATCACATCACAAAGGGAAAAGAAAGCATTTCACATTACATACTGTATATCACAGGTCAATGGCAAGAGCAAGTACACTCATGATTTCAACAGGTCATAAAAAATAAAACTAAGAACATGAAAACAACAAAAGACTGAACAAGTAATGCATCAATGAACGTACAAGAACCCGATGGCATTAAAATGATTGTTGCATTGAGTGTAGTCAAATAGCTTTGCCTAGCAGTTCAGAATCCCACAGAGCGCGCTCTGAAAATGGCCTAAGTGGTCTTTAGTATTATAAACTGGAACTGTGGGGACCACCTGTGGAAGAGGTACTTTGAAAGGCTGTCTTTCAGATGTGAGTTGTTTTACAGTATACCGTTTCTCATATGGACTCCACGTATTATCAGTGAATCTACAGTGATGCCTGATCGCTTAATGACAAGTTATTCGCTTGACGCGCTATTTCGAGACTAACGCATCGTCCTAAATCATGGGCTAACAATCTGGAGAAGCGGGTTATCTGTAGAGTGGCTGAATGCACGAGAAAACGAAGCATTTAAGCGCTTCTTTGGGGCGTGCTATCTCATTGGCTTTTGCAGTAAATGTTGCCCGGCGGCAAAGAGTCACTAGTGACTGAATGTGTTCAATCACTTCATGCTAACTTACTACGTAAAGTCGATCTTCAGTGTGCAGTGTATGCCGTACGGCATCATTGTGAAGGGCGAGAGCATGCAATGAAAGCCAGCACGTGACTGGCTTGTAGCATGATACATAAAGATATGCATTCCTGTTTCGGACGCGTTGATTAGGAGTTCTTGGGGGAACAGACAGTGATGCTCACCAAGGATGCCTTTCTGGCACAGAAATTTTCAGGCTATCGAAAGATCTGAACATCACTGCGCCACTAACGTACATATTTCAGCTTGCAGCGAGGACATGATATTGCGATGATCCGATAATTAGCTTCAAACGTTGATCAAAAATATTTCTTGATAATACAATTCAAGTCAAACCTGTTGGCTGGAACGCAATCTTTTGGAGACATGTTTAGTGAAGTGAAAAATGATCATGGCTTGTTTCAAGTTCGCTTCAGAATGTTGCGTGGATATGCGTGTAAACGAACAACAATCGCTTGTTGCGAACGTCTCCACTCCTGCGTTGTGCACTTATTGATCGTACCGAGTGCTGCCAGTCGTTTATCCGTGTTCGACGCAATTCGAACTCAGTCAGCGTTGACAGCAATAGCTTTCAAAGTGTAACGGTCGTGTCACGTGATACGAAAACCGATGGCGATTTAGGTTCAAGTTTCTACTCCCTCGTCCCTGTGAGTCTTGCGGACGCCCTGCTGTATAAATATGCGCTCGAAGCTTAGCGTTTCTACGGCTTAAGCTCATGTAACCCTTGCTTTGGATTCTGTCCGTCGGTTTAGAGAGCTGTTCCTTATTGACCACTAACCACCGTTCTCAGATTTTGGTCACTGACTGTCGAGAAATGTGTCACCTGCCAAACTGTCAATATCGCGCGATCGTTCGTTGGCTCGTTCGGTGGTTGCGCTTTTGAAAGCAGGTCGAAACGCCGATAATTACCTACAGATGTGCACTTGCGACAATTAGCAACTACGGTACACTCGTTTGGAAACTTCTGCCTGACTTCACCGTCCATTCAGAAGTACGAACGGAGCAAAAACCGCCATTTTCCGATAGACCCATTTGCCTTTCCCTCCATTATCACCATCTCTTGGAGCCAATAGAGTAACCGGCAAAATTGGCCTTTAAAATTTCCCGCAAATCCGTTTTTTGTTCGTACGTTACGACAGAATACATCATAGGTTTGAACAACCAATGAATTCATGATTTAACTTTCGTCAATAACTTTGCACATAAACCTTTGTTTCTTTCGTAGTTTCGAAGGTTCATAAGGAGATCCTCATGATGGATGTCATTAGATCTCGAAACTAATCCTGTATCATCTTTTGCTATGATCTGGTGATATCTGGTGATACGAATGGCTATTTATAGGAGTTTCGCTATTTCATGATGCACATGGGAATGCAGTTTACTGAAGATGAAGTGGACGAAATGATTCAAGAAGTTGATGTCGATGGTGATGGCCAAATTAACTACGAGGAGTTCGTCAAAATGATGACTTCGAAATGACGGATGGTCATGGAACTCAAGAACAAAACTTTCAGTACCCATGACAAACGTGCTTATGACACAAGTTCTATTCTGATCGAACCAACGTCACGCTCGTTCTTGCATGAGGCCATTTTTGGGTAAGGCCAAAGAGGCACCGAGTCTGGCCGAAACGATTCACGGCGCCAAGTTCGTTCAGGCGAAGCCCTGAGTTATAATCGTTTTTGTATATATTTGAAAAACATTTTGACATTAAAACTTGATATGGCTTCAAACTGGCACTGTACAAT